AACTACTTGGCAACAATACGTATATTTTCCCTGCAAAGAACATTTAATTATCAAGAAATATCAGCCTGTTGTGAAAAACTGGCGCTCACACAACGACTGGATATGGACGAGCTCTATAATGAGTTTTGCGTTGTCAAAGAAACTATTAATAAAACGATTGAGGAGAGAGCAACATCGAGCTTGGATGGGAAAACAACTGTTTATGAAGCATGGCATAAATTATTTTTAGTCAATAAAGATATTCCAAATTTGTCGCAGCGTTTATCGGCAAATATAAAAAGAGCACGTGCGGATGTGTCACCAGAAACACTCAAAGAATATTTTGCAAACCTCGAAAAAAGTATTAATGGTGTTCCTCCGACCAACTTGTTCAATTATGATGAGACCAACATGTCGGATGACCCTGGTCGAAAGCGTATGTTGTATAAAAGAGGTAAAAAGTACCCAGAGAATATAATCAATCACAGCAAATCCAGCACATGTCTAATGTTTTGTGGCTCAGCTTCAGGAACACTGCTGCCACCATATTTTATATACAAGGCTGAGCATATGTGGGATCGTTGGATGGACAACGGTCCAAAAGGAGAACCATGTTGTGCTGAACGTTGCTGTATTACAGGTTCCCGCTACAACAGATCCAAGAGCGGATGGATGGAAGTAAGTATTTTTACGGATTGGTTCAATAGTACATTTTTGCCCCATGCAATTCGTCTTCCAGGAAAGAAAGTCCTCATTGGGGACAATTTGTCGTCACATTTTACTGAAGAAGTTCTGGAGAACTGTCGGCAGAATAATATAGCTTTCATATGTTTACCAAAAAACTCTACCCACATAACCCAACCGTTAGATGTATCTTTTTTTCGACCATTAAAGATGGCATGGAGAACAGTTCTTTTGAAATGGAAGACTTTAAACACTAGAGAAGCAGGAATGAAAAAAGATGTTTTTCCGCAACTTCTCCGCGACACTTTACTCAAAATGAATGAAGCGGTTGAAGGAGCAATAAAAAAAACCTTATTAGTGGTTTTGAAGCAACAGGCATTTATCCACTGAATCCAAAACGAGTTTTGGATAAACTACCCAGTGAAGATCATCAGGTTAATGAACAGTTTGAAGAAGGATTCCAAAACAATCTGGTGTCCTTCTTAAAAGAACAAAGATTCAGTAACACCCCTGTTCGACGTTCCGCAAAAAAGAAGAAACGTTTGGATGTTGCACCTGGGAAGAGCGTAGCTCAATCAAACTCTGACTCGGATTTAAGTTATTCTGACACAGAAATTACTCAAGATTCGTCAACTGACGAGGACACAGTTCCCACTCAAAGCCGAGAGTTAGACGAAACAGAATATTTTACAGTCGATTTCAACAAAATTAAAGCTGGAACATTTATTTTGGTGCGTGTTATGTCGGGTAAACGTGCAAGTGTTGTCTACCGCTATGTAGCCAAAGTGCAAGAATTATTGGATTATAACGAGCTCAATGTGATAGGCTTGAAATGTATTGACACTAACAAAGTTTTGTTTAAAGTTGTCAAAAATGATCTATTTACTGTGCCTTCAAATGATATTATAGCAATACTGCCTGATCCAGTCCCTGAAATGATTGAAAACAATCAGGTGGAAACCTATACATTCAATCGATCAGTGGACGTTTTTGAGCGTTAAAGTTGTTTTCAATTTAATTCTCTACAAATTAATGTTTATTTTTTATGCTTATGCGTACCATATACTGTTTTTTGTATTTGAATAAAAATTAATACCCATTCCAATTGGAATTTGTTCTTATCTACAACAAAATTTGCATTTAACGATATTCCGTAGAATAAAACTTTTGGTAGAATAGGGCGACTTTGACAGCAATGGTAAAAGCACTTGTATCAATGTCACCCTAGCAGCTGCCAAATTTGATAGCCCAAACCACCTAACCAAGTTTGATGTGGGTAACATTGATAATTCTACTTTATTCTACAGTCCTTTACATGCTAAAATATAGGTGGTATCAAAGTCACCCCAATAAAAGTTTCAATTTGATAGGGATGTTTTAATTTTATTTGGAAAAACCGAAACATTAAAAAGCCTGTTTTTATGAACAAATATATTTTTCTTTGTAGTTCCCATCGAACTGCGAAAATAATTGCGAAAAAATTGGAAACATCTATCAATGTAACCCCACTTTACGGTAATTCGGTATATTAAAGAATGGCAAATTTGAGAACGGTATATTACATTTATTCGTCCAACTGGTCATACCGCGGACAACATTAGTAAAGCTATTTTGGAAAAACTGTAAATATTTAACATTAGTAAAACACCAGAAAAATTAATTTCGCAAAGCTATAATGGTGCTGCAGTGATGAGTGGCGAAAAAAATGGGGTTCCTGCACAAATTATAGCTGTTTATCCAAAAGTTAAATATATACATTGTTATGTTCATCAATTAAATTTAATTTTGGAAAGGGCTGGAAATCAGAGCAAAGAAGTTAGTCTTCTTTGCCAACATTGAAGGTTTTTCGTCTTTTTTCTCTAGATCTCCAAAGAGAACAAAAATTCTTGATTTTGAGAGAGGTTGTACCTCTTTTAGTACAAATATTTTAATAAATTCTCGAAACTCGAGAAATCATGTAATGCAAGCTGATGCTCAACTATTTGACAGATATTGTGGGTATCATAAATTACGCCCTTACAGTGTTAGGTGCCGACTAGCTTTTCACCTCTTTCACCTTTATTTTTCTAGACGTAAACTTCTTGTGAAGACAATAACACTGAAAACTTAAAAATCCAACCATTTTGTTGCAGAATAAAATACATTGATGTAACCACATTTTTTGAATAGTATTAAACAATCTGGCGACAATTTTGTCAAACGTGCTATATTTACACGTTCCGCGATATAGCGGCCAAGAGATTGTAACTAAGTATGATCGCCGTAAATAAACGAAAAGCACTGCAACAAAAATTAAAAAAAAAAAAATCGTTTATGGATTGTGTTATACTTAGGTGAGCAATTCTCTGTATCGCCACCAAGTTATAATAATTTTTGGTCCCTTTTTATAACGTGGGGTAACTAACGGTACCTCCAAATCATAGTCAAATCATCTGGTCGCTTCTTAAGACAGCAATTTGCTACGGCAGTGATACTATTTTGAATAAGAATGGAGTCATCTATATCGTTTATAATTTGGAATAATTTGACATCATCTGCAAATAGCAGTCACTCCCATGACGTGAAAGTGTCCACATCGCCAAGGCCAGTCAGGCGTGTCTTCTTTTCACAAAAATTATGTGAAGTGGCTTACAGAAAAAGTAATTCCTAATTTGCAGCTAGAATCTGTATTTATCGTAGATAATGCATCATATCATAGTGTTCAAATTGAGCGTAACCCAAACTTTTCGTGGAGAAAAGCGAATATGCAGAAATGGCCACGAGAAAGGGGTATTTTCTACGAAGTGCATGAAAGAAAACCTGAATTATACAAAAAGATTCAGGTCAATAAACCAATTCACAAAAAATCTGTAATGATAGAATTTTCGCTGAGCACGGGCTCTACACCTCGGAATAAATTCAACAAGAAGTTGAAAAAGTTTTAACGCACGTAATATTGTCACCAGACCTAAGCTGACCTGAGGCGACTTTAATATGTTAATATTACATGTTTCTGGGATCCGTAGTTTTTTTTTTTTTTTTAATAGAGGTGCAGACTTTAGGAAGACTCCTCTGTTCGAATATACAAAACATGCAAATCCAAAAACCACCAGCATAGATCTTAAGCGTTTTCAATTCAATGCCCGACTATACAGTGTGATCAAATAGTGCTTCACTTGGTACCAAAAATTTGCTTGAAGTTGGCATCCCTCTCAGCCTACCTCACTTACTATTGTCAAAACTGACTACTGACTAGCTGACGAGAGACAACGGAATTTGGGTGCGCTGATTGACGCTAATTGACAAAAAAGACCAGTAAACAACAAGAAGAAAGAAACACAAAAAATGAATTATTAATGTCTTAATCCCACTTTCTAGACCGGAATTCACACTTTACAGTTCTCAATTCACAGGTTACAATTCAGAATTATCACTTTGCAATACGGAATTTCGCACTTCACAAGTCTGAATTTCGCTCTTACTGCTCCGAATATCGATTTTACAGACTTGTTATAATATTTCAATAACAGTAAAAATATTATACAGTGATGAAGAGAAAATCAGAAAATTCGGAGCTTAAATATAGCTTTGACTTAGACTTAGAAAGTTCGCTCACAGTCACTAAAGAACGAAAAGAAGAGAAAGAGAAGAGAAAAGGAAGGCGACATATAGACTAGCGTAGCGTCTACGTTGATGGAATCGACTTTGGTTACCTTGCTTAAAGAATTATGCAAATCAGATGAAAATCCATTGGAAACAATATAACACTGATAAGCGACTTCACTTAAAAAAATGCAGTTTAGGCGAATTTAAGTGTACAGAAAAATCTGTTTTAAATAACCATTTTAATGAACGTCATGATATAAAAGTTTTGAACCAAACTTTAAAATTCTCTCATGAACAAGAATTTAATGATTGAAAAAATAATTTGGAAGGGCATACACATTCATAATATTTGAATAAATACGCTTCCTACAAGAGTGTATGTGCAGTTAAAAAAACTCTTTGTTTGCCACCCCTCAGGATTTTATAATGGGAGGAAAAGTGGTAAAAGACATTTAAAAAATAAATGGAATGTGTCCATCAGAAGTCTTTCAAAATGGGATGCATGAAGTAAATTATACAGAAACTCATGTAGGGCATGATGATGATTTAGGACACCTTAATCTTACTGTAGTAGCTGGTAAAATAATTAGCAAAGTACCATTCCTTTCTATTTTGGATGACGTCAGAAATTCTGTGACTAATAATAAATTGGAGAGGAACAATCTTTTGACGAAAAAGGATCTTTACAACATAACTCAAACATTCAACTTAAACAATGAAGCAGTACGACATTAAAATGATGTCGATGTGGGAATATCTCAAGCTGTCGCGCTTATCTAGGTATTTTTTTTCCCGAGGACGGTATTCTGGGTAAGCCGTTCCTCGAAAAATTTAATTTAAACGTGAATATTAAGCAGCAGATAATTTTTGACAATGACCATTCAGGTAATAAAACCATAAATAATGATAATTCTAATACTAATAATAAATCTAAAAACGAATTTGTACTACCGCCGCGATGTGAAAGGTTATTCAAAGTCTATATAAAAGCTCCAAATGGTGATTATATTATGAAAAAAGTCTAAACAGGAAAAGTCAATTTTTAATGCGGAATCTCTAATAAAAGTTAAAAACAATCAATCAGTCGTAGCACTTCTAAATCCTGGCGAGTCCGAAGTAAGATTAGGTGAAATTGAAGCCGAAATAAGTCCTCTTAATAAATTTAATTGTTTTCCAATAAATAGACCGCCAGATTCAAATAACGAAATTAACTCGGTTTTAGACAGGCATAGTAAAGTAATGGAAAAATTACGTCTAGATCATTTAAATTCCGAAGAAAATCGCTAAATAACAGGTATTTGTACGGAATACTTAGATTTGTTTACTTTCAAAGATGAACCCTTATCACAAACTAATACCATTAGTCCTGTAATTCCAATGTCGCAAACACAGCAACCCATTAAGATAAGACCATATGGTCTCCCCGAAGCACAAAAGAATGAAATTAATAAACAGGTACAAAGTATGCTGGATCAAGGTGTGACAGAACCCAGTACTAGCCCTTGGGATTCCCCTCTTCTTTTAGTCGCGAAAAAACCTGATTCCTCGGGAGAAAAGAAATTTAGGAATGTTGTCGATTTTCGCAAACTTAACGAGGTCACTCTAGGCGATGCATAACCTCTGCTGAATATCACGGATATTTTGGATCAATTAGGTAGAAGTCGTTAGATTTCACGGTGTTAGATTTAGCCTCTGGTTTCCAGCAAATTTCGATGAATCCTTTGGATGCCGAAAAAACCGCGTTTAGTACTCCCTTCGGGCACTATCAATACAAAACAATGCCAATGGGTCTTTCCGGCGCCCCGGCTTGTTTTCAAAGGTTGATGGACCGTGTTCTAATACGATTAAAAGGAATTAAATGTTTTGTCTACTTAGACGATTTATGCGAAAAAATTAAAAGAACATGAAGTCAAATTGAAAGAAGTTTTTAATCGATTAAAGGAACATAATTTAAAATTGCACCCAGATAAATGCGAGTTTTTAAAACGCGAAGTTTGCTATCTAGGCCATTTAATAACCGATAAAGGTATTCGTCCCGATCCTGAAAAGGTCAAATCAGTTCAAAATTTTCCCGTGCCAACAAATACAAAGCAAGTCAAACCATTTTTGGGATTAGCAGGATACTATAGGCGTTTTGTTCAAAATTTTAGTTCAATTTCTAAACCTATAAATAATAATTTATTAAAGAAAAACATACCTTTTGACTGGACAACGTCAGTACAACTTGCGTTCGAAAAACTTAAATCAATTTTGTCCGACGATATTGTTTTACAATATCCTGATTTTTCTAAGCCTTTTACGATATTTACCTCTCTGAATTAATAAGAAATAATAATAATAATTGGAACCGCTTAAAACAATGTATGCACAACATTTTTAAAACTCGTTCGTTTGTTCTGGAATTTTTTGAAAACAGTTCTGAGTTCTCCAGTGACGAAAAATTTGAGATTATTAAAGAAAGTCCCTGTTCCTTAGTAGGAGGACATAAGGGTGTGAAACAAACCGTAAATAGGGTTCGTGAAAATTTTAATTGGAACAAATTGAAATCTGATGTTCAAAACTTTATTAAAATTTGCAAAGTATGTCAAAAGGTTAAAACGAGAAACAAAACCGTCAAGCAACCAATGGTTATCACTACTACGTCAGATGAACCGTTTGATAAAATCTTTTTGGATATTGTAGATCCTTTGCCATTAACACATAGTAATAACAAATACATTTTAACAATCCAGGACGATTTAACGAATTTTCATTTCCATTTCCTTTACCAAATCAAGAAACGGAAACAATTGCTAAAGTATTTGGGGCAAATGTAATTTGTTATTTCGGAATACCAAAATCCATTTTGACGGACCAAGGCTCGAATTTCACTAGTCAATTATTTAAAAATATTTGTAAAATGTTAGAGATCAAACAACTTTAAACTACGGCTAATCATCCGCAAACAAACGGAGCTTTGGAAAGGTCACACCGTACGTTAATTGACTATGTAAGATCATTTGTTGATAAAGACACACAATCTTGGGATACGTTAATTGCTCAATCAATGCTTTGTTATAATAAGTCAGTTCATAGTTCAACAAAATTTACGCCTTTTGAATTAGTCTTTTGTCGAAAATTTGTAAGCCCTTCGTCTTTTTCACAAATTGGGCCCGTGTACAATTATGATGATTATTTTTATGAATTGAAAAATACGTTTCAGAAATCTTGGAATATTGCTCGCGAAAAAATAATTGAATCTAAACAAAAAAGTAAAGCCCTGTACGACAGAAATATTCATATTGAGAATATTCACGTCGGAGATCAAGTACCTTACTAACAAAAAATAATGCAAGTAAAAATAAACTCGACGTAAAGTGGTTAGGTCCTTACACTGTACAGTCAGTTGAAGATAATGAAAATCTAACAATTTCAAAAAATGGTAAACCATACAGGACTCACATTAATCAAACCCACAAATTCTTTTAGTTTACATTCGTCAAATAACAAATTTCTTCTATCTCATCACTTCAAAATCTTTTTTCGACGTCACAAACTCACAAATTCTTTAACTTACTCTCGTCACAAGTCCACTTCTCGCCCCATCACTTCAAAATCTTTTTTCCACGTCACAAACAAAAACTCTTCCTAGTCGTCGACAAAAACACGAATCTTATCCAGTATTTAATGTCATTTTGACTGAGTGAAGAGCCCCTCGAAATTTATCAAAAGAAAAACACTTCCTATATCTAATATATATTTCTAAAACTAACCCGAGAGTTAGACGTAACTCCTATCTCTAAATCATGCGGGTCTCTGTGCCCCACTTTATTCTTCTATCCAAAATTTACCTATGACCATCTTTTATATCCTCCACTAATTCCATTTTTAATTACAAGGCCATTAGTTTCGGTCTTGGCAATAATTTCCATGAAGATTAATTTTATCATAATGAACTTTTTTCTTTCCACCCGGTGTTCAGATCAAAGACAACAACTCCTTTAGCATTTGTCAAAATTATGAAAATATTATTTCCCCAACAATTTTAAGACTCAAAGAAAAACAATTAAAAATCTTTTAGACACTCTTGGCGAAAACAACCTCGGTTCTTCAAACAGATTAAAAAGAGGTCTTGCAAACTTTGTCAAGCAAGTAAATTTCTTTTCGGTACTTTAGATGAGAAAGACGCTAATAACTATTATAATGAACAAATTCGAAAATTTTCAGAACGCGAAGAAACGGTAATGCAACTTTTAAAACGCGAAACTCATAGTTCAGTCCACCTTATGTGAAATTAACAAAACAATTGCTCAGATTCAAAAGAATGAAAAAAATCTGCATGACAGTTTAGCAGCAACCATTGTTCAAATTAATAAGCAACGTAAAGAACTGAATCAATTTATTTTGGCTGAAAGATTAAATACTTATTATACGATATTTTCAACATTGCTTCGATTTATCAATCAGATGTCGATAATTTGATTCTATTTTTGCCGCAAAAATTGGACAACGGCACCCTTCTATATTAAGTACTAGTCAACCTTTGCGTGAATTAAATAACGTAATTCCATACCTTCCTCCAGGTATAAAATTTTGCACAACTTTAGACATCAATGAACTGCATAAATTTTTAAATGTTGTTGATCTCCATGTTTATTATAACAACTTCAATTTAGTCTTTGTAATTGACATACCTCTAGTATCTTTAAACGCTTATCAACTTTATCATTTAATCCCTTTAACTGCAAGGCAAGATAATGGCCTGCATTTTTATATCGAGCAAACTTATAAGTATATGTTAATTGAAAAGAATAAACAGCATTATTTACCGCTTAACATAGATCAGATAAATCGTTGTAAGAATTTTGGCAACAAGAAAGTATGTAAACAAGAACAACCAATTTTTTCCGCGCATGTGCATGAAACATGCGAGATGAGATTGTTTACTTATACCGCAATGGTACCAAGAAATTGTGAAACTAAATTAGTTAAGTTAAATACTAATCTTTGGCATCAATTGTATAAACAAAGTGATGGCTATATACCTTATTATCAACCGAATACGTAACTATAAATTGTAGAAACTTTAGTACACCTTTCAATGTTAAATTAGAAGGAAGCAGATTGTTTAAATTGAATAGATCATGTACTGCTTTACTAGCCAATCTGTGTTAGAACCACATGAAAGTTTATATTCTACTATCCATTCAAATTATTTACCGTCTTATAATTTAAATTTAGATATATGTTTAAATAAATCAAAACTTGTTAACAAGACTGATTTCTCACTCTATGTGCCATCAGTGTATAAGATTCGTGATTATCATCAGTTAGATTTAGCTAGTAAAAGTCTCAAGGAAGTAACCTCTCTTATTGAAGAAAATGAAAGGAATACTATTAACTCATCTACACTAACCCACTATTCATTCTTATTTTATATATTTGTTATATTAATATTCCTGTATATTTTATATAAATGTTTACATTGTTATTATAAACGTTGTAATTCAGATAACGATAGCGTTAGAATAAATAATCGCAATTCCGTTACTAATATTATTTCAAGGTGCTATAGAAAAAAGCCTCGACAGGTCGCTCCTGAGCAGATTCATCTTCGAAAAGTGACTCACCACACGGCAGACATCTGTACCAACAGCATTGCTGTTTATGGGCGGTCAAGGATCCCCAATACCATAATAAAGTTGGCAAGAGCCTCGCATTACAGAATTACAGAAATGTAACAGAAACCGATGTCCAAAAGAAATGAAATGGATGAAACATACGTTTTTGAGTGAGAAAAAAAAGAGAAATGTACCCATCATAGTGGGACAGGCAAATACTTCGGACAAAAAATCAATATTTCTTATAGATCTGACAAAAATCACCCCAAAAAAACTCCCGAGTGGTCAGAAATTTCAATGCACTTGTGTACTGTGTAGAGATTTTGCTCTCCAAAAGGTTACACCTTTTGCCATCAAAATTTATTAAAATTGCCATCGAAAGCCACAATCTTACGACATTTGGGGAAATTTCACGAGCGCAATGAATTGTTAAAAGAACGTTTGGCTGCAATAGGCCAGTTAAAAAAACCTATTTAACAAATTTGTTCTCTGATCATAGACGATGTGTCAAAAAGGGAGAAGCTATATTATAGTCGATCTGAAGATCACATTTACGGACTCGATACAACAGTATCACATAATATAGAAGAAAAACCAAAAGTAGCAAATAAAATGCTACGTTTTGTGGTACATGGATTATGTACAAAGTATGCTATCCCTGCAGGCTACTTTTTCCGTTCAACTATGACTACAGATCAGTTATATTTATTAACCAAAATTAATTTTAAACTGTTAACTCACTGCGGTTATATAGTCATTAGGATGATAACTGACAATATTTCGACAAATGTGTCACTTTTTCGCAAGTTTGGCAATGGTTCTCTACAAAACAGTATTGAGCGTCCTTTCCTGGAACATATCCGGTTATTTTTAAGCTTTGACTTTTGTCATGCGTGAAAAAATGCCAGTAATTTGTTTTTAGGTCCTGATATGCACTCTAGTGAGGGTACAATTTCATCATCTATTACAAAAACAACACAAGCACATCTTTGTGCACTAACTAAAATGGTAACTAAATGGGCGAGAGGAGTATTAACTAAAACGGTGATTTCTTTCGTCGATTTTTTCGTTAAGACAGCTTTTTTTGAGTCAGGTTTCGGCCGGTTACTTTCGATCTACGCATCATCCTGGAAGGATGTCTTCCGGAACACGCCGACTTCGAATCAATTCAACAGATACCAGGGCCCCGCCGACGAAGCCTCCCGCCACGTCAGGCCGCGCTCCAGCCACGCGACCAGCTCCAGCTCCAGCAGCAGCAGCTCCACCACCAACGACACAGACAACGTCGTCGTCGACAAACACCATGGGTGAGTCCAACCCCAAATATTCGCATGTTTTGCATGGCGCCCATCAAACCAAACCCCAGAAATCTCCACCCCTGTCCCCTGTTCCCTCCAGCTCGGGCCGATCGACCTCAGTCGCCTCCGAGACAACAATGCAATCTTCAAATTCCTCCACAGCTTCTCAACCCCCCGAAGTACTTTACAAGTACACTATTCAAAACATCCCACAAAAATTCGCCACCCAGAAGCAGCTCTACGCTGTCCTCATAACCCACCTTGCCCTGAAGGATGTCGAAACCCTGAAGGTCAACTTCAACAAATCTGCCCTTCTGATAACCCGGTCCGAATTACCGGCCAATTTCGAAGCCCGTCTCCGAGTGGCTTGCCTGGACAGCAAAGCCACAATCAACACCATCAATCGTCCAAAAAAATCACTAACCCCAGCCAAAAAGGCACCTTTCTTTTCAATCGTCATCAGAGACGTCGACCTAGACATCGAGGAACGTGACATCCTCGAAATTGCCCCTCACCTCAAAATCCATAAAATGTGGAGAATCGTCTCCAAAAAGACGAACAAACCCACCCCCCTCATCCGGGTCATCTCCGCCGATGTGTCCACCATCGACGGCCTCCTCACCGACGGCATAGTCCTCTTCGGCCGACTTCACAGGTGCGAACCTTCTAACGCACCTCCACCAACTCCCGTTCAATGTTCAAAATGTTTCACGCTGGGACATCAAGCTTCCGAGTGCTCCCAGAAACCCATTTGCCCCCGCTGCACCGAGACCCACGCCCCCAACAAGTGCCCCAAGGAAGTTCCAGAATGCCCGTTCTGCAAAGGTCCCCATCCTGCATGGTCCAGGAAATGCCCCGAATTCCTCAAATTAACGGCCACAGATGAGACCCAAACCCTTCCCACTATCATCATCGACCCACCAACAGAATTCGCTGACCTCGTCGACCTAACCGACGAAGCCCCAGAGGAAGTCAACCTGTCACAAATCCATGCGAAAGCCCTCATCGCTTTCGTCACAAAAACTCTCTTCGACATCCTCCCTCTGAACATTCCCAAAACCCAACAAGCCATTCAGGGGGCTTCCCTAGCCGTCTTCAACCTGAAAACCCGAATAAATCATTCGGGCAGGCTCATCTATTTCACCTTTGATGCTTAATGGGTAGCACAACCAACGTGCATGTTTTCCGCACCCCGCCGCACGCTGGGCCTCCTGCCCAACGTGCGGCACCCACACCTCCAATTCCTCAGCCCAACAACCCCCCTCACGCCGCCGCCAATCTAAATTTCATAAATATAGCCACTGCCAATATCGATAATGCAAGACATAAAATGCATGCCCTCAAAAACTTCATAGAAACCGACAACATCCAAGTCCTCGGCCTAACCGAAACCAAAACTAAACGCGAAATCAAAATCCCACGCTTCACCACTTATCACAGACCCTCAACCATGAATAACGCACGAGGCACAGCTCTAATAATCTCAAACAAAATTCCATCCACCAAATCTTGCAAACCTCGAAGCTATTGCCGTAAATATTCTAATCGCCAATATCTCTCTCACAATAATATGCTATTACAATCCGCCCCTAGAAGCCCTCTCATCTCTCCTCATCGAATATGCTTCACAACTCCCTAATGCCATACTAATGGGCGACTTCAACTCCAGGCATATCGACTTCGGCGACACCACCACGAATTCAAACGGCCGAAAGCTAGTTAACTGTCTAACAAACTTCCCCATCTATCGCCTTGAAAACAGGCACCCCACCTTCATCAGCCACAAAGGTCAATTGATAACCGACCACATAATTATCTCTGAAACACTAACCCCCAAATTTAACCTACAATGCCAGATTGGAACAACGGTCACCTCCCCACACCTACCATTAACAGCCCAACTCCTACTTCCCGCCCCACAGCTACCAGCAACCTACATAATCATAGACGACATCAAACACGCCGACTGGGCAAACAATACATATCAGACAACCTACCACCGATCAACATAACTCGCGAAACACACGAAATCGACCGACAGATCACACTATTCACAGACACCATCACAGCCGCCAAAGAACTCACTATCCCGCGTAAACACATCCCGAAAAACAAACGGCCACTGCCTGCGCGAATCCTAAATCTAATAAAACAAAAACGACAGATTTACCGTGAAATTACACGAACACGAAACCCACAACTTAAAACACATTTTAATCGCCTAAATGCCCAAATCAGACGCGATATAAACCAATTCCGGGAAGAACAGTGGTCGAACACCTGCGCAAAACTAGATTATCGAAACGGAAAACAACATTGGGACAAATTTAAACTACTCACCGGACAAAAAACACAAACCACCACCCACCTAATACAAAACAACACCTTCCTATCCACCCCTGAAGACAAGAGCAACGCCTTCGCTCAAACTCTCCAAGAAATAGACGAAATCCCAACAGACCCCAAATTCAACCACGATTTTTTCAACCTTGTGTCCGAAGAAGTGCAAGACTTCCGCGACCAACCCTTCCATCCCTTAGCCCTCCCTCCTTAACATGCACGTACCCGACAATGATGAAAACTTAACTCACGACATCTCCCTCCAAGAAGTCGAATCCCGCATCAAATACCTCAAAAATTCCAAAGCCCCAGGGCCAGATCAAATAAAGGCGACACTCCTAAAAAAACCTTCCGCCAACAGCCCTTCAAGCTCTGACCAACATCTACAATTCCTGTCTAAACGCGTCGTATTTCCCGACTTCATGGAAACAAGCCTCCACAATTATGATCTCCAAACCCGGAAAAGACTCCACTCTCCTATCGCCCAATTTCCCTACTAAATATCTCGGGCAAAATCTTTGAAAAAATCCTCACCAACCGTCTAACAGACTTCCTAGAAACAAACAAAATCATCCCCCAACAACAATTCGGATTTCGCTCGCAACGCTCCACATTGAAGCCCATTCTAGAGCTCCATACCGATTCTACCCGATGCGCCAACCTCAAAGAGTCCACAATCGCTGTCTTTCTGGACATAGAGCGAGCATTCGACAAGGTTTAATCTATAAACTCATCAAACTCCAAATCAATTCAAAATTCATCATCCTTCTAGACTCGTTCCTACACCACCGATCCTGCAGTCAAAGTACAAAACTCCCATTCACAACCTGTCATCACTCGAGCCGGGGTCCCCCAGGGCTCCGCGCTTTCACCTATTCTGTACTCCATTTACTGCAGTGATTCTCCCATTACAGATACGCCCAGAACGAAGACGAGGATGTTCGCCGACGACACCGCGTTCTGGACGTCCCACCGAGACCCCGAACGAGCCACCTCCATCATCCAGGAAGCACTCCGGCGATACGAAACATGGGCCAACAACTGACGAGTCAAACCCAACCCCTTAAAATCCCAATCCATCTGCATGACATATCCCGGTGCCACCTCGAAACGCCACAAATTTAGACAAACGCGACTAACATTGCATGCCGAACAAATCCCAAAATGCAAGGCAATTGGATACTTGGCATAACCTTCTCTGACAACTGCTCCCTAGTTCCCGACCTTGAAAATTCAATTGGAAGAGAAAACTCGGTTACAGGACGAAAACGGGCTTTGCATGGAGAAAAGAAGAAAGCTGGTAACAGCATCCAACTTGGCCAAAATTTGCAAAAGAAAAAAAAATCGGGACACATCGAAATTAGTCCAACATATTTTATAAAATAATTCAAGAAATTTAGGAAACGTTGTATCAATTAGACATGGGAAAGATCATAAAGACAAGGCAATAATCGTATTGGAAAACGTGAGAAAAATCAAAGTAAAAAAATGTGGTACTTTCATTCATTGGCACATCGCTCGGTGGTCTAATGGGGGACGATACAATCGTGGAGAAAAAATGTCCATATGCAACATTTAAAAGTGAAATCACAATAGAAGAAGCTATTATAGCGAAAAAAAATTACATTTTGAAGACACAACAAAAATATGGAAAGCGAAATAAATCGAAAACATGATTGGTTCTTCCAGGTACATGGACAACTACATGTTGCTGACAGAAGACAATGTATTGTATTCGTTTGAGCTGGAAAATGATTTAAAATACAATACATTCAACGAAATGAAGAGTTTTGGAGTTCTCAAATGGAAACACGAACATACAAAGATATAAATGCAGATTCGAATCTACCTCATTGTAATATGAAAAACATTCAGAATTATTTAGACAGGTATGTATATTTGTTGTCATTTATTGTTAGTTTTACATGACATTTTTTTCATTAGGTTTGAAGTCCGCATCAAACATGGCAAAAGACTGTATGTAAACCAATATATGGTAAATGTTCGGATGGCAATAGAAGACGGCATTAATTTTTTTAAAGGCCAGTGTAAAGCGGCCATGGAAAAAATCAGTTTTGTATAATATAAATGTACATATATCTTTTGATGGAACTACTGAAGGGTGTGAATGTGGCTGCAGTGTTGGTGAGGCACAACATGTACACAACAGTTGCAGAGTTTTCACAGACCCTTAACTAGAGAGGAAATGCTGCTTGAACTTTCCACTGTAAGCAATCAAGACATCCTCCAAGGTGAAATCTTGACAAGAAAGCAAAGTGTCCATTCCTCTTGGAATGACATCCGGAGGAATCATACAACACCCAGCAACTTTTATGCTTGTTTTAAGGCAGTCTCGCCACAATCGAAACGAAAACATAATAAATTCTACAATAATTCGATCAAAACAAACGCAACATGGCAAAGATTGTGAATAGACGACCATTGCAAAATACAGTTCGTATGTTGTAGAAGTCCAGGAATGTGGTTTAGTGTTAAGGAAAAATAAGCCTTATTTGGGAGCATCACAAGATAGACTAATAGGGAATGAAATCATCTTGGAAGTGAAGTGGCATTTTAATCAAAGACATCAAGGAATCAATGAAAATACCATTCCTTATATTTGGAAGGATAATGCTGGTCACTTATTTTTAGACCATTTTCATCCATACTAGTATCAAATCCAGGGCCAGCTGATGGAAACTGGTCGCAAATATGCGATTATATTAATATACACTTTCGTCGATTGGCTAACAATTGTTTAGGTTGTCAGCATTTGATAAAAGACTCAAGAGGTGCTTTAAGTGGTTGCACTTATTTCGATGAACTGCAGCGGGGTGGTTTCTATTTGTCAACTCAAATTGTTATAACTGCATTTTTTCATCTAAGTGCAATCAGGGCCGGTTCTGACGGGAGTGCAGGAGGTGTCCGCACGCGGGCGTAAAATTCAAAGGGCGCAAAAATCGGTCATCACATTTAATTATACATATAATTTCCGGTCCGTATGAAACCTTGACACGTGTAACAGCTATATTTTTTACTCAACAGTTTGTGCGGTTTGCCGCCTGTTTTCGAGATTGACCTTACCATCATCGGGTAATGGCAACACTTTTTTGTAAACCCAACTCTAAAAAGAAACAGAAAAGATAAGGGTCGCCAACAGTTCTATCGGAATAGTCATTCGAGTATTACACCTTTCCAAATTTTGCAAAAGCAATCATTCAGAATCCCAGGTCTTTGAGTGAATTTTCGAATACAGTGCCTTTCCAGAAGTGAGGAGCTGGATATAATTTTGCAAAATAGGTGCAGTCATTTCTTTTGTTGATTTGCACATGGTGGAATGACGGATTTGAAAGGAAAGGTATCCCTCGAATATCTTAAAAGCCTACACACCATCCAATGTTTTTTTGGGACGTGCTTCGAACCCCAGGCAGCTGATTTTCCGAGTAAAGTGCTCTGCGGACTTGTCGTTTGTATGGTCTTATAAAAACTGGTAATCAATATTGTGCAAACTAAACTAGAACTTGTGGTTCAAAGTGTTTCTTATTTTTGCTGATAACGTGGATAAACAAGGTATTTTTGTTTTTAAAAAATTATAAATAGTTATAAAATAGAGTAATAAATGGCTGAAACAAAGACAAAACGTCCTTCTGGTGCATTTTTTCGAAAAATAAAAATAAAAAAAGACGCCGAAAAGAAACAATTACATGGTGCAATGTCAAAATACTTGAAGCTAGATAGTCAAGCATCCACTTATACGCCAAGAGCGGTTGTTGAAGATAAAGAAATAGGTGTAAAACTGTGGCATCAGCGTAATTTATCCACCGTTTACATTTAGATATGTCAGTATTCATAAAACAGAACAAGCCTTCTGGGATCGTGAAAATGGCGCAGTCAGTAGCAGCTGCAAAAATTTTAGAAGCCGCGAAAAATTCGCCGTAAATTTCAATTTGAGTGAGCAACGAACCCCTTCGACGTATTTCAACATCTGGAAGAATCAGAGAAAAGATCCTTGAACACTGCCCATAAAGAAAGCCGAGAAAAAGTGAATTTGAAAAAATTGATAGGATCAATAATTTTACACTAACTTCACTTTGATAAATAAAGTAAATCAAGATGCTCCGGAAAACTCGTTTAGTCAAATAACGAAGTAAGGTGGAGAGGAAAGGAAAAAGAATATATCAAAGTATTATACATCTAAGAGAAATAAACTTAGTATGAGAAATGCAAGATTACACGTCAGAGTGTATCAGCTGAAGAGTAATTAACAATCGATTCTTACATAATTTCTTTTCAACTTATTGCAAATAATTCAAAAATTTTTGCGAAAATGCAACTGAAATAGAATGAAAGGATATGAAATGTTAACGTAAAACATTTGTCTATTCTATTATTTTATAAGTCCCTAACAGCTTACAAATTTCTGTGGCGTCAGGGAATTGTTTTACATATTATTATATATAAATAAACGATGGATTGGCCAGAATGAACTTCAAGCAGGCTTTATGAAAAATTTTTTAAACAAATATAAAGAAATGCTGTTTTTCAAGAGGCCGAAAAAACTGCACAATAATTTTTGAGGAAATGATTATTTCAAAAAAATTTGAATGTAGTAAGGATATGGATGTTTTGAAAGATACGAGGAGACACAGATCATCTAGGAAGGAAACCTCTTGTAGGAACATGTGTTAATTTTCTTAGAACTATAATTACCTGTTACTTTTTGTCATGCAAACAAATGAAAAATTTTGGTACAGTTAATTTAAGAGTTAACAGAAACATTCCAAAAATATAATTGCACACTAAATCAATCATCAGACACAATGTTAAAGATCGTACATGAAAATTAATTCTTGAAAATATAACTCACAACTGCAGTAGTTAATCGTCGACTGTTTGTTTCGGTGGCTGATGTTCTTGATGTGACTGTCGTTTTGTGTTGTTTAGTGTTTAATTATTTAATATGATTGCAAATATGTCGGAAATTAACAGTATAAATGAAAATGAAATGAATGCACTAATCGCAAACTCGCACTCTAAGCTGATTCCACAAAGTTACGATGGTGCCAATGTTATGAGTGGTGTACAAACAAAAATAAAACGGAAATATAAATATGCTTATGTTGTGCATTGTTATGCCCTTCAGTTAAATTTAATTATGCAAAAGGCCACAAGTCAGAATGCCAAAGTAAACATTTTTTTCTCAAATCTATCGGCAATTCCAATTTTTTTTTCAAGTTCTACTCATAGAGCAGATGTGTTAGAAGAAATCGTGAACAGGAAGTTGCGAAAAGTTGCTGCTATATGTTGGAATTATAACATACGCACCGTAAATGTTGTTCATGAAAATCGGGAAAAATTAATTGAATGTTTCGAAGAAATCGAGGAAAAGTGTCAGAAAACAGTTACTTGTAAAGAGGCATATAGGTTACGAAGATCTCTTGAAGATCCAAATTTTATATTTTGGCTTAATTTATTTCACAAAATTTTTCCACTATAACTATTATAGAACCAAGGAATTTAACCCTCAGAGCATCAAGCGGGGTCCCAAAGGGACCCCAGCGAGCGTCTTCTGTAAATAACTTTTTATATATGTATATTTTTTTGAAGTTGTCCTTCTTAATATGTGTCATCTTAACCTTTGTAAATATTAATTACATATCAGTTTTTAAAAATATTTATTTTATAATTTTATATTCACTAGAATATGCACTGGGGTCGGTCTGGGACCCTGCTTGGTACTTTACGTTAGACAAAATTTTAATGCTCTATCGACTTTAAATCCGTATTTTTCAATGTCCTCTTTAGAACTCCCAGTAACTAGTTCGGTTTGGTTCATTTCATTTAATTTGTAGTTTACTCTCGTGCGAAACATTACGTGCAATGAATCGAAGAAGAACTTTATCAGAATTTGAGTTAGCTGAAATTGGAGTTAATATTGCTCAAGATATCAGTGATAACGAATTAGTACTTGACGACGATGGAGATAATTTTGATTACAACAGTGACGCGCCAGAAGTCTCTAAAAGTGAAGATAATACTAGTAAGATTGACGAAGAAGAAGACGAATTTTCTGGTAATGAACCAGACGACGACAGCGATGAAAACTCTTCGAATACTGAAACCTTGGTTCCAAAGTCTGAACGCATTTGGACTTCTCAACCGCCCAAAGCAACAAGACTTACACAAAATATTGTCACAGGACAACATAGTTCTACACATTACTGCGATGGCTTGAACATTAAAGGATATATAATGTCTTTTTATTACTGACGAAATTAAAGACATAATTTGCAGTTAAACTGATGAAAAAGGGAATTTTCTTCTTCTCCGTATGCAATGGTGACAGTCGACGAACAGTGTCCTTTTCGTCGATATATAAAATCAAAACCCGATCGCTACGGAATACAAGTATGGGCCTGGGCAGATGTTCAAACTTCATATTGCAAGTATACATCGGTAAATTGCAAGGAAATCAACCCGAAAAAACCAAGGTAGTCGAGTTGTAAAAGACATGGTAGAACCACTTTACAGCTCGGGTCGAGGTGTAGCAACAGGTAATTTCTTTACTTCCGTGCCCTTAGCAGAAGAGCTCCTGTCAAATCGACTAACTTTGATCGGCACAGTCAGAAAAAATAAACCAGACACACCAGATGTTTTGAAATCTTTGCATAATAGAGAACAACTAGCCTCTAAATTTGTGTTCTACCACAAAGTAACCACGGTGTCGTATATGCCAAAAAAAGGAAAACTATGTAGTTCATTTACTTTCAACCCAGGATTTTTTTTTGTTAGCCAACTATGTTGGTAAAGTTGCTATAGAATTGAAAAAAATTGGTCGAAAGTTATTTCGACAGAACTTCCCTCGCTTCTGGTTTCACTTTCTATAATAAATTGACATATTTATTAATTTACAGCGCTGCCAGCATTATTTTTTCTAATTTACAGGACCACGCACTCGAGACGGCAGCCATCGATGAAGGCCATTTATATATTCTTATTAAACAAATAATTAATGCCTACATGCGAATAAGAATGTTTAATTTGAGCAAAAGACTTTCATATCTTGCTCAAGGCACTTCCATTAGGCATGTGTACACGAAATTGGTATTGTTTTCGCATCAATAAATATATTGAAGTATAATTATGTTTATTTATTCGTATAAGGTGAAATATATTTTAGTTGTGATTTATTATTAGGTGATTTTAATTAATGATTTTAAACTTCCCGCTAAATAATCAAGCAGTTGTCTAGGGATATCAAGTTCTGTTAGTGATTTGTGATTATGTTGGCAACAGTCAACTGATAAAATGGCTGCTTTCAATTTTACCAAGGATTTTGGGTCTGTGCAAAGGGAAGCTCATTCTCCCTCTCCATATCTCTGAGTCTGAGTCAGAACAGTGTTCCCGCGACCGCGTGTTTTAAACAACATACATATTAAGATGTAGATTTTTTGTTAGAAGAAAATGCCGACTTTTTAAGGCCCACGGAAAAGCAGTAAGGGAGAATGGTCCCAAGAGAATCTGAATAGGGCAGTAGATGCGGTAACAGTCTAAGGAAGACACTTACTTCGGTGCAATAGATAGCTTCATGAATCTTGCACGCATTACAAGGATTACTGAATGAGATGCGGAAAAAAAATAAAGGTCGCATTTAACCATGGCCAAATATCATCTTGTTATTAAATATAATATGTGCTATCTCTCCCTTACTTAATGCGTGATCTCCCCCCACCTACTTTGGAAGAGATTGCGAAATGCATTTTTTTTATTTGTTCCATATTTTCGTATTATTTTGTATTAGAATTATTCTATATGTTTTTTTCATAAATATAATAACCGTTTCACTGATATATTTCTATTTCGCCCTCATGAAATCATTATAAGCAAATATATGAATTGTTTTCAAAACATGCGCGATATATCCCGGTTTTACCTTATACAAGTTCTTGCTCGTTATTGTAAAAAATATAAAAAAAAAGGGTTACAAGTATAAAATGGAAAACAATAAAAAATTCTTATCCAGAGACCATACATCAAAACATTAAAATTAAAATTCCTAGAAACTTATCTCAGGTAGAAGAAGACTACCCTAATGTAAAGTTTGTTCTCTTAGATGAAACATGGATATATAAAAACGGGTCTCCCATCAAAACAAGGGTTAATGATAATTTGCCGAACAAAACCTGAAGGTAATAGATTCACTGTGTTGCATGCTAAATGTTTTTCTAGTTTTCTGGATGGATACGGTTTACTTTACGGCTTACTCTAAGAACAATGGCTGATACGCATAAAAATACATATTTACTAAAAGTTTTTTAGCATCTATTTATTAGTAGTTACAGTAATTTATATGCATAACCTTTTACTTATACTTAAGTAAATACTTGCAATTTTCCAGCAAAAAACTTAAAAACTGATTAACGTAACTGTCATAAAAATAATTTTGTGATTTGTGTCATACGTACGAATTTGGTTACAACATGAGTTCTTCAGACTCCGAAACCGATGAAGAAAGTACTGAAACTACTGAAATAAACAACAAGCAGGAAAGATTTATTTCAATTTTAAAGAAATGGCCGATATTATTAACCAAATCGCAAACACCAAACAGCCGAGAGAAAAAATAAGGCTGTTCTAAGTAAGTTCGCAACCCAATACGCCATAGATTATGGAGAATCTATGACGGAACCAAAAATATTAAAAAAGATCAACAACATGAAAACAGAAATTAAAAAAATACCGACTTGAAAAAAACAGGAAATAAACAAATTAAATTAAAACGATGTTAGGAAGATTTCATAAAATTATTGGATAGTGGTAACCGCAATCCCATTATCCACCATAGATAAATAAAAATTGGCTGATGTATAAACAAATTTCCAAGTCACTTTTTTTTTTCAAGTTTGTAATCCGGAAATCCTGTAAATTTCCAAAACGTGAAAATTGGTGCGATTATCGTGTAAATGTGGCTACTAGTTGATGCCATTTTAGTAATATAGTTGCGATCAATATGGTTCATTGAAAATGGTATATTTTGTTTACTGACTCAATTTCGTGGAACAGGAAGATATGCATCGTCATTTAATTTATTATTGTTTTCAAAACAATTGCCTGTGACTTTTATTTTGATATTTTTGACCAGTGTCGGATTCCTAAAAATATAACACACACATAAATAATATTAAATAAGAGCATCTTTTGGCTTTCAGAGTGTAAATTCAGTACGAAACAATATAGGTCGCCCGTTTCCGGCTATCTGTCTGAGAGAAGCTTATACTTATTATTATTCATACGAAAGTCAGTATTTACGTGTAAATTTCAGTATTTAGTATTTACTAAACTTTATGCATATCACTCCAAGTAATAAGTAAATACTTATAAGCTTATACTTATTATTATTCATACGAAAGTCAGTATTTACTTGTAAATTTTAGTTTTAATAATAATGAAAAAACTTTCAGAGTTTAAATAATATATTTGTAGTCACTGCTACACGTGTTTCGGTACACAGTACCGTCTTCAGGCAGAAGAGAAACTGGGGTTTTACAGAGCTATTCCTGAATTTATACCTGATTTAACAATGGTGTTTTCAAACTTATGTTAAGTAAGGGAGATTTGTTTATTTCGGTTTGGTCGTTCATTAGTGTATTTAATCTATTGTACCTATTTATTTCCAGACATTCTAACGCGTTTAATTTTGCGCCTTTATTTTCTATGTGTAAAATTTTGAATTCGTCGTTGAAATTATGCTGTTCTTGGATAAGGTGGTTCGCGTACGTAGAATTTGATTTTTTGTTGACAAATGCTGATTTATGTTCTAAAAGAAATAAATAGGTACAATAGATTAAATACACTAATGAACGACCAAACCGAAATAAACAAATCTCCCTTACTTAACATAAATTTGAAAACACCATTGTTAAATCAGGTATAAATTCAGGAATAGCTCTGTAAAACCCCAGTTTCTCTTCTGCCTGAAGACGGTACTGTGTACCGAAACACGTGTAGCAGTGACTACAAATATATTATTTAAACTCTGAAAGTTTTTTCATTATTATTAAAATTAATATGGAGTTTAAACACGTATCAGCCTCATCAATACAAACAGTAAATTTTAGTATTTAGTATTTACTAAACTTTATGCATAACAATGATAAGAGGTTGCCATAAAACTATGGGAGGTGATTTCTTCAAAGAATGGGTGCAAAACCAGTTAATTCCTGCTCTGGAATTTGACGTGTTCGAAACTGTGATTGTTAAATAACGCACATTACCATTCTGTTCGCCTTGAGAAAGCCCCTATTCGCCCAAGTAATAAAATTATAATGCAAGATTTTCTAGAAAAATGTAATATTGGTTTTGAACCAACCTTCACAAAAAAGCAGCTGCAGAAATTAATTGAAGCTCTCTGACCTAATTGTCCCACAAAATATGAAATTTACAAAATTCGTGTCAAAAACGGAATAGATGTATTGCAGCTTTCTCTTATCACTGTGAGAATAATCCCTTGAAACTGAACAATAGACTCATGGGCTGAAGCAATAACTAGCTTTACTCCTGAAATGTGGAGAAATAGTATTAAGTACTGTGAAGAACTCAATCGCGACGATTGATGCAAATATATGGGCAGTTTCAGTGTTCAAGACATTCCACTAAATAAATAATAAACTTGGCAGAAGATGCAGACTCTGATTTTTTAATTTCGTCAGATGATGAGTCAGATCTGAAAATTATAGATGTTTCCAGTACTTCTCGTTCTCATTTTTGATTTTTTAATAAATTTTTTCTTCACCTACATTTTATTTAGATTAGAGCATTATTCAGGTATAAGTAGGGTCAAGCAGTCCAGAGTTCTTAGGTTAAAATTCAAGTCCGCTATAAATGCTAAAACCATCAACGTGCTGAATGTAGGTACACACAATCCTCACTATTCATTAAATAGCCATTAACAACAATGCTTATTCCGCAAATTCTGTATGTAATAACCGTCGCCTGCGTTGACAGTTGCGCTGATAAAGCCTGCCGAATAGCGAAATTGGACGATATGCAAAATTTGGACACATTTTGCTGAGGGCGCTAGTTATCCTTCGTTGACAGGTGACCAATTTGAATGTACAGAAGAAATTGTTGGTTTATGATGTTCTGTGTAGGTTTAGGATTGTTGGTGAAGTTTTTCATTGATTATTATTGATTGATGAAAATGGTTTCGGTTAGTCAGTTACACACCTTCTTACACCTCTCTCTTACACACTTGTTAGTCACGTTATACATCATCACGACAAAAAATTGTAGTGAAATAAAAATGAAAAGTTACTCAGAAAGTTTAACAGTGGGCTAACCTGCGGATTTTCGTTCAATTTTTCTAAAATGATTGATTTATCAACGTACGCAAATCCCAAATAGATTAGCTGGAAATTAGCGTTTGTTAACTTCGTTCGTGGTATGCAGTACGTTAGTGAATGTAGGTACACCTAACCTATTTTTTTTTTTATATGCGAGTCACCTACATAATAATGTTGAAAGGTAATAATTGTATCAATGTTTATATACTCTTACTAAAAATTATAATTTTAGTGAAACTGAACAGAAATGGAAGGAACTCTTTGGAAGCATAAACAGATTGCTAGTAAAAATGAAACAATAAATTAAATTATTGCTGCTGGAAGAATTAAATTTAGTGAGTGGGGATTGAGTTACAGACAAATTCAACACAAATCGGCCCGTGTTTCTGCCTGAAAGGCAAAATAACGCTTGAAAGTTATTCAGATTAAAATTACACTAGTAATATGCTAAGAAAGAAGACTCAAGGTAGAATTCAAGTATGTAAATTAATTAAACATGTAACATTTATAACTTCAGAATTTTTCTAGATAGTGGTTTAGTTTCTAGCTTCCTCTTTAAAGTATTTGAATTTTGGCTAATTTGGCAACCAATATTCTGTAGGACTGGCTTGCTGACTTTCTCTATTAAAATGTCTGCCAGAAACAACCTGTGCTGTTCGCAAGTAAAACAGTCACTCTGTGAGACAGGAACTTGCAAAATTTTATGAATCACTGCTAGTGGTGAAGAGTCAGTCCGAAGGAAAGGTATTATGTTCAAAATAAACTGTGTTACTGCAGCTATAACAGATATAAACGGTGTTGATGGATATCTCAGAGAACCTTTGTCATGTAGATATATCAGATCAAGTAGTTTATTACTAGTTGCAGGAGTTGATATGTCTGTAAGGCATTCAATACAGCCAGCTATACGTTCTTCTATTGTCCTTACAACATATCCGGCTATCCATGCAATAGCAGCTGATTCACAGTTTTCAGGTAAGTTGGCATTTGATACAAACAAAATATTATTAATTAATTCTCCATAGGATGGCACTTTCTTTGCAAAAAAGGCTTCATCATGTGCACCATCAACTTTCTTCAGATTAATGTCAACTGTAGACCAACTAGAGAAAATATGTTTTGAAGACTGTGCCACATCTTCATTTTTGGTATTTCCATATTCAGAAGCTATAATTATACCAGTCTGCAGAATTTGTTTAATAGCGTACTCTGCCGCTCTGGCATCAGTCATGTCGTTAGAGCCTCCTCTGAGGCGAATGCTGCTGAAAAACGATTCTATTGGGTCAGAACTGAACCTCCTAGTCAGTACATAGTAGAATCCATTTTGTAATAGGTAGTTAATGCACTCAAAAGTTGCTACACTGGTGAAAATTAAAGCTTCCGCTGTTTCGTCACTTAGTCCTTTCAGATTTTGCTTTTTAGAACATTCCTGGATGCTTTGAATATACAAGGGGAACTCATTCTTCAACCAAGTCAGTCGCTCGTCGGAAACTTTTCTGTATGGGGCGGTATCAGGATCCAACTGATGTATGTGCTGTAATGGATCACTAACATCATGTATTTTGAAAAATCTATGCATCATTTCCATAAATTTAATAGTAGAACCAGCCTTAGAAAACTCATAATTACTAGTTTTATGTTTCTGCAGGTAAATTAAAAGATTGGAAATCACTGGCGAAAATATTTGAACAGCCCTTAAAACATTCATCTTTTCGAATGTATTAGGCTCAATGTGCTTTTTGGTTAAAAATTTTACTGGCTTTGTGATCATATCTTTTTGAATGTTGTATATATTTTTAAGATAAATTGATGAAATTATCCCATTGTTATCAGCCATGTTACGGCTTAAAAATATATTGCGGGCATTTTTAATTGCATGGCAATAGTCAAACGACATAAAAAATTGCAATCCATCCACAACTGGATGAGGAATGCTTGTTTTTAGAGACCCATTTCCAAAATGACGAAACAAGGCAACATTAGATTTGTGATTGTCCCCAATTAATCGAATAATGTTGAAACCGCAATTTGTGACCTCTTGTAAAATGCACATTGTCATTTCGTACAACTGTTTTCCAGATGTGCCTCTGCTGAAAAAATAGGCAACAGGAATAGTAAATTTTCTGTAAAAGCCGTGGATCACAAAGCATAGTAATTTATTTGCTATTTGGGTCCTTGTGCCGATGAAACTTTGATTGTCAGTGTTTTCTACCCCATAAAATTTGTCTTCTGATCTGCTATAGTACATTCGCTCTTTTATAGCCATCTCATCTACTATAAGAGATACAAGACGCTCTTTTGGATCCTGATATTTGGCTGCCTCAACTGAAAGTCTCTGTCGTATGAGCTGTGTAATACCAATGCTTGGACAAGCTACATATTTTGCAATGGTAGAACGGCAGGGAGCTCGAATAAAAAGTCGTCGACCCAGATCATAGCCCTTTGGTGAAGCAAAGCGCCAAGCAACGCAATATCTTAGTGTAGTTTCTGACCACCTAGGACGTTTTAAATTGTAATTTGCTATTTGTTCTAAAATAAATATAGCTGTGATGTCATTTTTGCTGGCGTTCTTTTCAATTTGTTCAATTTTTTTAGATGTGTGTTCGAAGTGGTTAAAAAATTCTTGCAAATGTTGTTTTTCAAGTTCAAGCGTAGCAATTTTTTTTTGCAAGTCTTTATTTTCTTTTCGTAATGCAGTACTTTCAATGTCTTGTACATTGACTTGAACTGCAACATTGTTTGACTGAAATTAAATTACATACTCTAATACTTAATTATTTATATAAGCAGAAAAGTACTATACCGATTTGTCCAATTGTTTTCTTAAAATTTGATTTTCTTTTTCATAAAATAAACACAATTTTTCGAGTTCAGAAATTTTGTCCAGTGGTGATGTTTGGTCATGCTATTAGGAATTTGGTAAGAATGGTTAAGGATGGTAGGTTTTACACTTACAGGTTGGTTGTCGGGATTAGGTAATCGTAATTCACATGGCTCTTGCAGGAGAGGACTTGGTTTTCGGAGGGTTTCAATATTTTGGGGAGCGAGATCTAAATACCAGTAAAATCTATTGAACAGGAATGTCTATTGCAAAAACTTACCTTTATTAAACTGGGGAACTGCATGGCTTTTTAGCCTGCATCTACCCACAGAATCGTAGACAAAATCATTTTTATTAAAATGAAGAATACAGACTTTTGCCCTCTCCGAAGGAGGTTCAAAGTTTTCTTAAATGAAATTAACGTTCATTATTACGTTATATCAAGAATTTTATTTATTTTTTAATAGATAAAGAATGCAAACCTTTCAAATTTTCCCCAAGAGTGATACTTTTTATCCACGCAGAAAACCTCTGCTTCTGCGTTGGAAACTCGTGGTAGGTAACATTTGGATCACTGTTTGAACAGGATGGTATACAACAATGCATTTTTAATCGTATTTTATTAGTTCAAAATTACGAAAATTACATATACAAACAAATGCGTCAAATTCAAATTTGAACTGTCATTCAAGGATAACTAGCGCCCTCAGAAGGAAAATGGCGTCGAAAGTAACTACTGGATTATCTGTCAAAGGTGGCTATTCGGCAGGCTTTATCAGCGCAACTGTCAACGCAGGCGACGGTAATAACAATGAAAGACAACTCTTAACTTTTGACAGAAGACAGAAGACAGAAGCCAGAAGCAGACAAATGACAAATCTAACCTCTTTTTAATTTGTTGCTCCCTAAAAATCACTAGCGCAGTGACCGCCTTTATTTTTGTAGAAAATTGCGACGTTGGTGGACTTGAGAAAAAATAGAGTCTAGTTATGACCGTGAGATTCGTGTCCTCTTTTTAACAAAATGAAATCTGGTCACTAGCGTTATTTATTGATTTCATAACAACAAAACCTTTACTGAGAACATTTCTCCTCTTATTGAGAATGTTATTGTTAACAACAGGAATTTCAAACACTCACCACATGTGTTGACGACGAAAGGCAAGCCACATTTTTTGTTTCCAAAACACCCATCATTTTCATCTCCGTTTCAATATTGCCAGGAACCAGAAAACATTGGTAAAGTTAATTAACGCGAAAACACGAAGAAAGACACGAATATTGAATCAAACAAACACTTAAACAATGCAAAAAAAAACACAACACCCTCATGTCTTCGCACAGAAATAAACACGACCATCGACCACACCGAAACTGAAGTACTTCGACAGAAACAACCAACGCGCAAACGACGCAAACGCAGACACAACATATGCCAAATTGGTTAGATTAAGAAAGTAGTAGCTTATACAACCGTTCACATCATGAACAAGATAAAAATTAAACCTAAACATACAGTAATAATAATCAGTAAGATATGTCTTATTTATTAGTAATCTGCTACCACACTAATACTAAAATGTTGTTGTATGTTATTTTAAGTTTACGTTCATCTAATAATATACTTGTAGGTGTATGTTTGGTTGCCTATATAAGAATTTAAATTTTCTTTATATTTAAAATTAGGAAGTATACATTTACTTATGAATTATACTTGTGCTAAGTACAATGTAAGCAAATGCAATTAATGTTTAATTTGGCATATTTAAGTTTTGCTTGGGGCTGGTGGAAATGACACTCCAGCATGTATGTACTTCCTGTTATCGAAGTTGAAATGATCGACACTGGTATTTAATTTAAATAAAAATTTGTCATTGACACGGAGGTAGAATGAAAATAGGAAAGATAATTTGAAAAAGCGGCTGGTACCGCGTTTTCGACTAGGGTCATAAATGGCTTTTTCAGCTCCCAGAAACTAGTCGTTCCAGTAGCGTATTCGAAAGCGTTTGCCGGGTACTGGGCATAAAACACAAAAATAATTTAATAAGACAGAATATAAAATCGGTTGCAATAAATATTCTTTTTACCATAATTAAGCAAACTGCAAGAGGTTTTTACTATCTATAAACTTACATCCTCATTTTAAACCGAACGGCACCAACCCTGATCCTCCGTTGTGGACCGATTGTAGTACCCATGGTTATTTATTATTAATAAAAGATCATAACTTAACTTCGTTGAGCGCTTAAAAGAGACAGCTCAAAACATTTGGATCCGGTGCAGTAACAGCAGCTCAAGAACAATTTCTCAGAATTGGTAACTCGAACAGTTCTTATTGATCAAGCTGTGTGAATAATGCATATTGAGTTGCATACCTCAAATCGGAGTTGTTTTATCTAAAATACATATGTAAAGTTCAACTATCGCTATTTGGAGGTAAGTTCACTGGGGATTATGGACTAATTAGCACTTGGGATGATTTATTGCTTACACCCTGTTGTAAATATGTCCATCGAGACGACGGCCCGCAGCGTACCGTTTCTTTTCATTGAAATAGTATTCCTGGCAATGACCATGTAATAATCCGAATAACAAAAGAAAATAACCAAGTAAAATCTTATTAATAATAGTCAACGAGTATTCCAATATAAATACATTACTGAGACAGAAAAATTTTAGTTAAGGCTCTTCCTTACAGTCATTAAAATCTGCCGAAATACGGCAAAACGCCACTTCCAATATCATCCTTACTATAGCACTTGAAGACTTGTGCGACATATCTATTTGTTCGTGATACAAAAATCTTCATGGAAATAGTTTTTATATTGCATTAAAGGCTTCCGTTTTTTTAATAAAATATAAAAACAGAAAAACTTATTTTTCTCTTTGAGCCAAAACTATAACGTATTTTGGCTTAAAAAAATCTGACAGTGTAGGTAATATTATTGCTCACCTGGGGCTAATAATTATTTTTTCGTTAAACTATCCATTTTTTAGTTATTGTTGATTAAAGCAAGACCTAAACAAGGCATTTTTTCTAAATGTAGGCAACCAAACATCTTCTTTCGTCAAGAACGAGCCAAGAAAGTGTATGATTTACGATAGGGGTTGGCCACTATTGAGAGATTATAGGGATTTAATACCTTTGTTGAGAAAATATGCAAATGAGGTGACCGTAGTGTGTTCTACCTGAAGGTTGTGGAATCGTACAATTATGTAGGAGTATTATATTAATCTAATTTCAGAATAACAAATAAATAACCGAGTTTGGATTTTTTACAAAACTGCCTAACTTGTTTCAACAGCTATAATTACTGCTGATCCCAAATGTGAGATAAATTAGACAAATTTTAAAATTATCAATCACTGAAAAAGAAAAGAATAGAATAACTTTTTCCAAAGCACACAATGAAGACTCGATTATATGTGACACTAATAATCCAATGTATGTGTTGAATTACTTACATATCTTTATACATATTATAGCCTCTTCTAAATTTAAAAATGTATATAAATTTTTTTGACTGAGATAGAGTATAATAAATATAATGATATAAAAATAAATAATGGTCTGTAAATCATAAATCTTTTTTTATTATAGGACGAAGCTGCTGATTTCGACTCCATCGTGAATCAATAATTTCTGGGAGCATGGCTTTTAAATAAAATTTTTCCAAATAATTTTCCATTTTTTTTTTATTTATTTGTTATTCTGAAATTAGATTAATATAATACTCCTACATAATTGTACGATTCCACAACCTTCAGGTAGAACACACTACGGTCACCTCATTTGCATATTTTCTCAACAAAGGTATTAAATCCCTATAATCTCTCAATAGTGGCCAACCCCTATCGTAAATCATACACTTTCTTGGCTGGTTCTTGACGAAAGAAGATGTTTGGTTGCCTACATTTAGAAAAAATGCCCTTTTTAGGTCTTGCTTTAATCAACAATAACTAAAAAATGGATAGTTTAACGAAAAAGTAATTAATCATTAACTGAGGTAGACGGCGGAATATACAAGAGAACGACATAAGAGGCTGATAACGCACCTTCAATTTCATGATTATATTATCCATAGATTTTAAATTGCTAAAGTCCACACGTACAGATTCTGGTTTAATTTCTGTAAAGAGAACACTTTTGTGAGCACCGATTAAGACACCTCCACCTCTATTCTTGGAAGTTGCTAGAAAATCACGATCTTTTCTGATGACATTGAAATTACTTGAATTAAAAAAACCACTACTATTGCTATTAGAATGCAGCCATGTTACCGTTAAAACAAATAGATCACAGTTAGTGAATAATGACGAATTAATAGCCGATTGCACCAGTTCCCTTTAAACTTTAAGCGATTTAAATTTTGCATTTTTGTTTTGTGTATGTTGCACTAGCTTGGTTAAAAGAGTTCAGGGTCCCTTATAGCCGATTGCACCAGTTCCCCTTAATTTTTAAGGGTTTAAAATTTTGCGCTTAAGTTTTGTGCATGTTGGACCAGATTGCTTAAAAGAGTTAAGTGTCCCTTAATGAAATAATAGTTAAGGGAAGGATCAACCATCGCTTAAACTACTAATTACGCTTAACTTGCCGTTTGACATCTATCGATCCGTAACATTTTTGTCAGTTCTTAGAGGTCTAGGTTCTAAAAGTGGGATTTGATGGTAACGAAGAACTCGAAGACCTTGCAGTTTTAGGTTTTTTAAATTGTGGTATACCTCGTGCCGTTTATCAAAGACAAAACTTTTTTGATGTAAAGCACGAAATACATTTTCGAAAATGGTTCCGTTTATCTCGTCAAAGTGTTTTAATAATAATAATAATAATGATGATTTATTCATTAGGATCAATACAGATCATTGAACACGTCAAACATAGAAACAAAACACACGTAACAGTGGAATAAACGCACATATAAATATGTGAGCATAGATATTATGCATGTGTGTATAAACGTTCTATACAATATATGTACAGTACATATAGAAAATTAGTTAAAGAGAAATCAAAAAGATATAAAATTTATAACTAGTGGACACTGTAGTACTCGTTATTTATGAAATATTTTTACTTCCCGAGCGTAAGCAAAGGAAGTATTGTAATCGAGTCCGTCGGCCGACTCTCTATTTTTACGTTTTCTCGATCTTTCATGACCCCTAGAAGAAGAAGAAATAGGTCTCCCATTTCCGTCTGTCTGTCCGTCTGTCCGTCTGTCTGCGTCCTGGATTTTTATTAGACAGATAATCTCCAAAATTCCTATACCGATTGTTGTGAAATTTTGTACTTATATTAGGAATATCATGTAGATGGTAAAACGCTAACCAAAATTTGTCTAATCATCCCCACCACTAATGCGATGACGTCACTTCAAAATTGTACATAGTAAATGGGTCTTAAATTGTATAAAATAACATAGTCCTACACATGTAGTTTACGACTCCGAATTCAGTTTTTACCCGAAACGTCCAGATTTTTGGAAAAAAAATCAAAATTATAAAACAACATTTTGCAATTTTATTTTGAATCTGGTAACCCGAATGTTTTAAAATGTTGCAGATGTTTTAAGGCTATAAAGAGCATCTTAAATCTTTAGTCAAAATATATTTTGTTATCCCCTCAAAAACTTGATGACGTCAGCTCAAAAGTTTGCCGAATAAATCCTATCTGAAATGTACAAAATATGATGCGTCTGTACTTGTGATATATCACTCCATTCATATTTTTTGGATTTGCATATACAGGATGACTCAAAAAAAATAATGAATGCGCAAAGTTTATTTTACTGAGTTACTCAGGAACTACAAAACCGAATGCTTCGAAATCTTGAAGATGTTTTAAAATTATCATAAGCATGGTAAATTTTTGATCAAAATGTATTTGCTCTTCCCCCCTAAAAAATTGATGACGTCACTCCAAAATTGTGCTGAATAAATCCTATCTAAAATGTACAAAATATGATGAGTCTGTCTGTACTTGTGATTTATCATTCCAATCATATTTTTTGGATTTGCATAAACAGGTGTCTCAAAAAAATTAATGAATGCGTCAATTTATTTTATTGATTTAATCAGGAATTACAGAACCGAATGCTTTGAAATCTTGGAGATGTTTTAAAGTTATCATAAGCATGGTAAATTTTTCATCAAAATGTATTTGCTCTTCCCCCCTAAAAAATTGATGACGTCACTCCAAAATTTTGCTGAATAAATCCTATCTAAAATGTACAAAATATGATCAGTCTGTACTTGTGATTTATCATTCTTATCATATTTTTTGGATTTGCATATACAGGGTGACTCAAAAAAATTAATGAATGCATGAATTTATTTTATTGGTTTAATCAGGATTTACAGAACCGAATGCTTTGAAATCCTGGAGATGTTTTAAAGTTATTATAAGCATGGTAAATTTTGTATCAAAATGTATTTGCTTATCCCCTCCAAAAAATTGATGACGTCAGCTCAAAAGTTTGCCATATAATCCTATTTAAAGTTTACAAAAGATGATGAGTCTCTTGTAATTTATCATTCCATTCATATTTTTTGGATTCGGATATACAGGGTGACTCAAAAAATTTAATGAATGCGCAAATTTATTTTATTGATTTAATCAGGAACTACAAAACCGAATCCTTTGAAATCTAATGTGAAAAAAAAATTAATAGGCATGCAGTCGTCACGTTTCCGATAGCGAGGGAAGTACTGTCTAAACTCTTTAGACCAATTTTTTTGATTTTCCCATTTTTCCATTTCTCAAGTTTTCAATGTTTCAGTTTGGGATTTTTTCACTGTTTCGATTCTTTAATTTTCCTTCCATTTTTAGGTTTTTCAATATTTCAGCTTTGGAATTTTGCAATATTTCGTTTCTTCGATTTTTCAAATTTTTGATATTGTGTTTTCTCGGTTTTTAAATTTTTCGATATTTTAATGTTTCAGTTTTTAAAGTTTTAGGTTTTTAGATTTCTCACTATCTCGACTTTTCGATTTTTCAGTTCCATGATTTTTCAATTTGTCGAATTTTTAAATTTTAGATTTTTTGTTCTCAATCATTCAATTTTCTGAGTTTTCAGGCTTAGATTTTTTTTGTTGTTCAATTCTTGGATTTATAAAATTTTTGTTTTTCAAATTTTCTTATTTATCAACTTACTGGTATTTCCATGTTTTGATTTTTTGATTGTTCAATTTCTCGATTTTTTGAATTTTTAGTTTTTGATACGATTTTTTTTTTCAAAAATTTTCAGTTTTTCTATTTATTGACTTTACGATATTTCAGTTTTATGATTTTTAATTTTTTTTATTTTTCAGTTTTCAATATTTGACATTTCTAAATTTTTCGAATTTTCAATTTTTCGATTAACTAATTTTTTGATTTTCCCATTTCTCTATTTCTTGATTTTTCAATTCTTTCTTCAATTCTAATTTTTCAATTTTTCGATTTCTGGATTTTTCAATGTTTCAGATTTGGGTTTTTTCACTTTTCCCGTTCTTCAATTTTCTTTCCATTTTTCAATTTTCCTTCCATTTTTCAGTTTTTCAGTATTTCAGTTCTGAGATTTTGCAATGTTACGGTTCTTCAATTTTTCCATTTTTTGATGTTTCGATTTCTCGGTTTTTCAATTTTTCGATAGGTATTTTAATTTTTCAATTTTTAAGTTATAGATTTTCCGTTAATTTTATTGTTTTCGTTGATGTTTTGATTTCTCGATTATTCGATTTTTCAAGTGCTCGGTTTAGATTTTTTGGTTTTCCAATTCTTCGATTTTTAGATTGTTCAATTTCTCGATTTATAGATTTTTCAATTTTTCGGTTTACCGATTTTTTTCATTTAAAATGTTTCAATTTTTCAATTATTAAGTTTTCGATTTTTCAATTCTGGTGTAATTTGAAAACGGTATTAATAATACATTTAGGCGAATAAACTAGTAGACGGGCTTGGTAAGTCTTGTTCGCTCTACAGTGTCTAAATTGTGTTTGAATAGTATAATAATTATCTTGAATATTAAAATTAATGGGTGGTATTAATAAAAGTAAGTATTTACTGATACTGACAGTTTTTTAAGGAAATGCTTACATTTGTATTAATAAAACATAAGTAAAACTGATGCTGAAAAGTATATGCTTATGTAGGAAAAGTACATGCTCATACTTTTTATCAAAATCAGTATTTACTTAAGACTGTATAAATAAAATCAAGCTGATACTTACAGAATTCAGTATCTACTTATAAATTTATAAGCATGCTATTTGACGTACTTACGACAGCAAAGACTTAAAAAAAATTGTGAAAAATGTTCAATTACGAAGTGCGTGCTCGCAAAACTTATAAACAACGCAGACAGAACCCTCCTGAACGGGATTTTATTCGATTATATCGTTTTACAAGTGAAAATATGATGTGGATGGCAGAACATTTTCTTGGAACCAGCAATGAAACAAGAGGCGGCAGTCTGGACACATTTACAAAAATGAAATTTTTTTGCGGTATGCAGCCGATCCAGGTTTTCAGACTGGAGTCGCCGAAGATATAGGAGTTAGCCAGCCTGCAGTTTCCTACACTATAAAGTGTGTTGCCCAAAAGATTATGAACAAAGCGCACATTTGGATTCGGTTTCCCCAGGTAAAACGACAGCAAATACTTTTTCTTGCCCTATCAGCTTGGCATGATAAATTTATCTGAATTGCAGGACAATGAAGCCATACAAGAAGAAAAACAGCGATGGTTAAGAAGATATAATTTTCCCACAGCAATTGGAGCTATTAGCTGCACATTAATAAGAATTAAAAAAATTCATGTATATAGACATGGCAATGAATACATCTGCAGAAAACAGTTCCCTGCTCTTAATGTGCAAGCAACATGTAACGCGGAGGAATATTTTACAAGTGTCAGTGCTGAGTGGCCAGGATCGGTACATGACAGTCGCATCTGGAGGAACAGTTCTGTGTGCCGGGTCTTCAGAACTTTTAATAATGCTGTACTATTGGGAGACCAAGGATACGGTATAGAAAAATGTCTGATGATTCCTTACAGAAATCCAGCCACACCAAGGGAAGAAACCTTTAATAACCTGTTAAAACGTGAGCGGGTTATAATAGAAAGATGTTTTGGGCAATTAAAGCAAAGATTTCCTACGCTCCAGAATATCATACGATTGCGTCTGCTTGTCATTCCTTCATTTATTGGAGCCTGTTTCGTTCTCCACAACGTAGCTAAACATCTTAAAGATGAGGCTGTACTGGAAGAAGAAAATAATAATGATAATGACGATGATAACCTAGATGAAGAAGATAATAATGATCCAGCACAAGAAGTTCAACGACGTGAAGGTCAAAGAAAAAGAAATGAATTAACTGAAATAATGTTTCAAAATATTTAATTTGTGTTTTCGCCTTGTTCAAAATAATAGGATTGTTTTTAACAAATTTTGCCACAAAAACTAAATCATTGTTTTTGTGGCAATCATCTATTCGTTCCTCATCACTAAACTCGTCACTTGTCGACATTTTTGGTTTTTTAAGGTGCCCAGCGCAGTCAAACGAGAATATAATTTTTTGAAATACGATGACTTGGATATTTTATGTATTTTGTGGATAAGCATAAACTTATCAAAATAAGTATTTACTTATAAGTATTAGCATCTTTTTATTAATATGGAAATAAGTATTTACTTTTAGAACTTCCTGATGCTTATAATAAATGCTAATACTTACAAGTATTTACTTATAAGCATTTACTTATTTTTATTAATATTACCCAATATGTCAAAAGAATACGAGAAATGATTATTCTGTGCTGAAGGTATGTTGTGGGCCGCCTGTCATAAATTATCATTATTCTGCATTATCGTCTTAGAATGTTTTTATGACCCATGTCCGGCAGTCGTCTATCCCAGCGCGTCAGGTAGATTAAAAGAAGAATTGCTGGTTGCGTTTAAGGCAACAAATGGCGCCCAATTCAAACTTGTCTCTCGTCTAGCGTTCTCCCTTAAGGCTCTTCCTTACAGTCATTAAAATCTGCCGAAATACGGCAAAACGCCACTTCCAATATCATCCTTACTATAGCACTTGAAGACTTGTGCGACATATCTATTTGTTCGTGATACAAAAATCTTCATGGAAATAGTTTTTATATTGCATTAAAGGCTTCCGTTTTTTTAATAAAAAATAGAAACAGAAAAACTTATTTTTCTCTTTGAGCCAAAACTATAACGTATTTTGGCTTAAAAAAATCTGACAGTGTAGATAATATTATTGCTCACCTGGGGCTAATATATTGTTACATTTATATACTCGTAAATCAATCGCTTTCATGTCACTAAATACTCGGTACCGATTGTTTTCGTTCGCCGATTAACTACGACCTTAATACGTAGCGCCATAGCGCCTATCACAACTACATTGAACACAGCTGTTTTCTTCGTTGATATTTTTTTTTTGCGTCTATTCGTTCCGTCTTACTGTAAATCTATCGCGGTGCGGCGCCTGATAACAATCGTAAATTCGCTTTTCATTACATAATTTTTATTTATTTACATAATTGTAAGCTTTCAGTCAGATTTTCATTTCGTTAAAGATACCTAGGAAAATTCTGAAAACTTTACCCATACCTGTATTTAATTTTTTTTCAATATAGATACATTTTTTTTTGCATCCCCTCTCTTTTCTAAGTGTTATCGACATACACCCCTTTGCTTTCGGGTTTCGGGAAAATAAACTAAAGGTAGGTACAAATAAATCGGAAGTAAACCCGTGGCGCCCTTTCACTTTAGATTTGACTCACCCCCATCCAACTAAGTCAGCTGGAGCATCCGATCTTTTTGTAGGCGTTAGACATTTTTAATAACAGTCGTGTAAAAAGGGACTTTGAGGCAGGAAGATGCCAGCCATATTTTTTAATTGGTGACCGTGATTATACCATTGAACCATACTGTAGTGATAAAACATACAAGTATTACGGATTGCAGAAGCAAGAAAGAAGTTAACATGGCGTACTGAATGTAATCACGTTGTTTCAATAAATCACTAATCATCTAAAAGTGTATTTAATTAAAAACGACAAGACATGGCGCAGTCGAAACAGCGAACCTAAAGTAAATGTGTGAAAAGTTAAATTTTGAAGATTAATGAAGAAAACCAACGACCTCGTGGAAAAGAAGAAAATCTAACCTCAAAATTGAAGATGTCGAACTTCGTAGTCCCAGCATCGCTGAATCTCAATGGAAATTTATATGAAAACTGGAAAAAGTTTAAGAAGAGCTTGAACATATATATGACAGCATCGTCGTACGACAAGGAACCAGAAGAAAGGCAAGTGGCAATTCTTCTTAATCTAATTGGACCAGAGGCAGTCGAGCTACACGAAACATTCAAGTATGGAAAAGGTGATGAGAAGGAAATAGAGAAAGTATTACAAGTATTTGAAGAGTACTGTAACCCAAAGAAGAACATACTTCATGCAAGATTTCTCTTCTACAATCGCAAACAACGAGAAGGCGAGACCTTTGATACCTTCTTAACTGATTGCAAAACTTTGGTGCAGGCATGTGACTTCAAGAATGCCGATGAACTCTTCAGGGACAAAATAGTATTATTGGATGCTGCTGACACGGACGCCATCGACACGATTATAAAGTTGGGAGATATCAAGTTAAAAGACGCCATTGAAAAATTTCGAATTGCTGAACTGGTAAGAAGACAAACCCAAGAAATCCATGGAAAAGAAGTCAACTTGGTAGCTGGAAAGAAACAGGAGAACCAACAGAAAAATGGAAAGTTTGTTCAACAAAAATGGAGAGAAACCCCTTCTTCCACCTCCTATGAGAGATCGAAAAATACAGATGGAAAGTTCCACGACAAGAAGAAGGAGAGATACAGGTTTTTTCGATCGTGGACATTAAAACGCAATTTCAGTGAAATTATCTTTTATTATCTTCATTTATGTTTGAATTCCGTCATTCTGTTTCTTTTCTAAAAACTGCAATAAAGGTATTTAATGATTAAATCAAAATTATGCTGTCAAAAGTGACAAGCTAAAATGATAAGTCTATGATGTACCAAACTTTTTTAAGCAAAATTATTTTTACTTTTTAAAGCACAAATTAACAAATTATTGCAAAAAGTGGTAGTGAAAATTAAAGTAGAACCCTAAAGCTATTTTCTCCGCAAAAATCATATCTGGGTTTTCACCCTAACAGAAGTTAACATGGGGTCTAAAATTTAACATGGGAATCCCTAGCCAGAAATCCGGATCACCCCGAAGAAAACGGAAGCAGCAGCGACTACTTCCGCTTCCAAATAGATTCGAAATATTGACTGAAGAAAGCATCGACATGGAATATATTGTCGAGGAAGAATCACAGGAAGTTGAAAAGAAGGAAAAGAAGCCACCCCCATTGTCATCCATGGGAGGGACCAAACTCATCAAACGTCGATAAGATAGAACAATATAAGAAGATCAGAGCGGAACTAGACACACGGACCATCCCGTATCATACCTACACCCCAAAGCAGTGGTGAGTGGACTAGACAGCGACCCCCCACCAGAAATAGTTCTAGAAGCGATCAAGAAGTGTTGAATCGCAATCAACAATGTTACGAAAATGAAAAATACCAAGCGGCCATATTTTATTATATTATAGGACTATAATAAACAACAGCAAACTTTTACTATTACTGGCCAGTTTTATGAAGTATATAAAAAAACATGCAGCGTTGAGACCAGCTGAAAAACGATAGACGTAGGTATGAATTTGTAATCGTAATTTTGCTTGTTTGAAATATATTGTTGCGAAATGTTGTTTCTACTTGTTATAGAGTGCGATCGTCTAAAAAATAGTGTTCATAAATCGATGGAAAGTGTATTTATTTATCATTGCTCGTATTTTTGCTTAACTGGACTACGTCTCGCTCGCAATCTTCACACTCGCATGATAAACGTCACTTTCCACGCTTTTTAAGAAATATACTATCTATTTATTATTGTTATTAATCTGAAGTGTTTTTGATTTAGTGGACTCAGATTGCTCATGGTTATATTAATGCCAACCCGTCGGTTCATTTTTTGTTTATTTTCTTTTAGATGTTAAACATACGAGTAACACTGCAAGCGTAGGATAGTATTTTCACTTTTCGCTCTTCGCATCTAATTTGTGTTGCACGCTACTGGTTTCCGTTCTTGTGCGGAACGATGCAGATCCGTAGGTAAATTAGTGCCTTCTCTGTTTGAAAAACCGTCACACACTCCATTTTTCTCTCAAAACGAAAAGATAAAGTAATAACTAGACAGCGGATTTCTGTCGGGCTACGTCACGATTTTAGTGGGGACGCGCTGCATCGCCGGGACTCAGTAGCGGGTGATAGGTAATCACTGAATTTAATTGTCACTTGATTCCATAAATACAATTAACGATTTATTAATCAAACGGCTAACTAAATGAGAACTGGAATTAACAGCAGAGTGCAACGAAGCAGCGTTATTCTAATCTCAAATAAACGAAGTGCAGCCGGTAACTGCAATGAATTCCCCTCCCGTACGAGCCGTACCGAGTTTGGCCTTGTCTAGCCCGACAGAAATCCGCTCTCTAGTAATAACAGCAACCCAAAATTCCGAATACATTCCTGACTGGCAGTAAACAATCTGGCGACAATTTCGTCAAACGTGATATAATTACACGTTCCACCATACAGCGGCCAAAAGATTGTCACTACGATCGCTGTAAACATACGAGAAGCATTATCATAATTATCACGGGATAATTTACCAAATGTGTTAATTCTGATGGTTAAATTGTGATAATTAACACGCTCTTGACGGTTGGTATTATTGTTTTTTGAGCGGAATTTACTGTTTGTTTATCTATGAGTTAACCTAAAAACATATTCCACGATAAAAAAGACGGTGGCGGTAAGATAAAGGTACAGTTACAGTATACCTACTGTTACTCAGAGGTTGGTCGCTTTCATCGTAGCGCTGCCTATAATCACCATGTTTCGAAGAGCTTGTTGTTGGCGCTCCTTCTCCAGGGCCTGGTGCCAAAGAGGCGTTCGTGTGCCGTAAGAGACTGCTTGCGAAACGCCTAATGCCGGGCGCGACCGAACGCGAGTTGGTGGACTTATGCGTGGGACTGTTGCGCCGCATTATATACAGACATTTCGTGGACTGGAGGCTACGACACACGGACGATATTATCGACGCGACGTGGCCACTGTGTACGAGCGAATTGACGAGGTGCGCGACGAAACACCGCGACAACGGTCAACCGCGCCAAAGTGCCAGGGGGTACCACTACCACGTCAACTGCCCAGAGCTACAAGAAGACGCAGGGCGGGAGACGCCAACGGGGCGAATCGCGGTTCGGTGTTCAACGAACTATCGGCGAGCCCCCGCGATAAGTGCTCTGCGAAAGACACTGCAAACTACCGCAGTGTTCCTGAAGGTCCCTACTGGAGGGTAGACTGCGAACACATCCTCCAGTGGCGCCCAATTCTACACCCTGGACCAGGAAGCCATCACAGCCCTCCTCACCAGAACACACAAGGCCGCTGAATCCTCGTGGCTCCCTACCTTCAAAGGCTTCGATTACGAGGACCCCACCGCATTTTTAACAACATGCGAAGAGAGAATCAGCGGAGTTCCTCAAGAAGACTGGCTGCCTCTCGCTAAACAATTACAAGACGACGCCGGCAGATGGTGGAAGGCAAGAGAATCGATTCTCCAGGACTTCCAACAGTTCAAGGCCGCCTTCCTTCGGCACTGGGAGAACGACGGAAGACACGCCACAATCAAATCTGAATTCTGGGGGAAACGGCAGCAGCGCGGTGAGTCTGTAGAAAAATTTATAAGAATCAAACAACTAACTCACCGCGAAATATGTTGCTCCCGACATGTTCGCGACGGCGCTCATAGCCCATGTACGCTCCTTGATGGACCCGGAGATCGCCCGCCATTGCGTCTTCGCCTCCATCACATCAATAGAAGACCTGGTGGAAGGGTCGTGCGAAATCGAGGCCAGCCTGATGAACAGCCGACCAACCGCTACACCGGCAGCATCCACATCGCTACGGCCGTGGCGCTATTGCCCAAAGCGACACTACCACGCCG